TGGGATGGGAGGGTTAGGGTGAAGGGGAGTGAGTATAGGTACTCCTTTAGAAGACTCTGTCTACTTTCAAACGATTGTCAAAACATGTAGCACAGGTTACTGGGAGTAAAGAGGCGTCATCCCTTGCCATCAGTTCTCAAAATCTTTTTAACGCAGCTTGCATGTTTTTTGGAGGGAGTTATATGATTATCCTTTTTACGCACTCAAAATCAATCCCCAAGTGGATATTCTTTAGCATTAAAATGATTTGCGGAGGAATAAGGAAACGGCGTCCCTATAGGCTGGTCAGCAGATGTTAAAATAGTTTTTTCCTCATTTGCATAAATCACATGTTGTTCTCTTCTGCGCACCAATCTTTGACGCTCTTTGATTAATTCCAAGACTCCCTTCCTCTTGTGTGTGTGGTTGTGGTTGTGCCTTTGCGTGTTTAAGAAATAACGTGATGCGGTCTGACACGTCACTGCTTTTGTTGACGTGGTCAGAAGTTTTAAGAATACACTCTCACCTCTGTCTCTAAGTTCAGGACAAGCTGGATTGAATCCAAATACTGTCTTACACCGTTTTGGAGCCGTTTGGCGATTGTTATGGCAGGGGCTAGCAAAATGGCCCCTAAGTGTCGTGATAATGTATTTGGTTGCCTAGGTGCAGTAGACTGACTGTAATCTACGTATCTTATTTTGTAGACGGACGGATGTCAATACCATTCAGCGATCTACCACACCAGTTTACCTGTAGTGCGGCATGGCTGGCGCTATGCGCAGCAGTGGATTCTCCCGACATCGCCCAAGTCTGTTCACATGGGAATGCGGATATAATCTCCTCCGGAGAGGTGAAAAGCCTTGAGAAGGCCTTCGCTTCCGTCTCCGCCGAATTCGGCGTTGAACGCGTGGGCGGTGCGGTGCCATCCCTTGTGCCCCATCATCGACGTAAGTCTACTCTCTATCAATTGTCATTGGTTCGGCCAGTAGCAGGGGGGTTTAGGATGATTATATCTCGGCAACGCATTCAATATGTAAGAGCCGTACCCGGAGGGTATGAGGTGCTAAAGGCACTAATGCAAATTTCCAAGTGACGCTTTCGGAACTGAGAATTTAATGACGACTGAGCAGTAAAAACGCCTTTTTACGTTCATTTTACAGAGTCTAGTTTAACAGATTTCAATTTTATCTAATTCCATTTTGTTTTAGGCCTTTTATGGGAAATGCTGAAACCTGTTGGTAAGTTTATGTTACCTTAATGCACTACTTATAGCATCAAAGTATTCTCTGCAGGAGTAGCTTTATCATAAATGTATCAGATGACTGAGTTACAGGAGGGTTGAATGACGTGAGCTAACTCGAATTTCATCAGCATGGAGGACCTATGTCGAGTGGGTAACTTGATTAAAATAGGCATTATCCTCATGCATAGCCCCGGTTTTGTTTCGAGTAGACCTTTATGCCTCCCATTAGTGAAGACTGGAACACAGAACACTAAATGGGCATACAATCCACACGTGTCGTTCCTCTTGGTAATCCTTGATGTTCCCATTGACTGCCTTTTTGCGACGCAGTAAAGTTAATTGCAGCCGATTTTGAGACAAGCAAGCAGTTCGTGCGATTACTTTTCATCTCATTAAGACGACCTTCACACGCTGTAGAATCCTTACTGGGAAATTGAATTTGCCCTACGGCAATTGCATGTCCGTCACTTTTTTGGGCATATTTGGCCTAAAAGCAGAACCCATTTTAAGTCGGCGCAAAATCAATCCATCGCTCTGGTCCCTGCCCTTCACTTCCCAATGCTGTTCAGCCATTTATTTAAGTTATTCCCAAATCTCAGGGCGTCAGATTTCACTTTTTGTCCACAATTTGCAGGGATGCCAATAAGCAGATTCTCCTCTGTGAATTACTTAAATTTGGGCCGGTGCAAACCATTTTCCAGTGGGTGGAGCGTCTAGGCATGTCCAACGCCGGCCTCCAGGGCTGACTGTGGTGTCGAAATTAACAGCCTTTCCACTGTAGTTTCTTGCAGATTCAGTCATCCACAAGATAGCAAACGCCCAATCCACGTAGTTGCTAGTCCCTCTTGACGCATAGCATTATTCTTCCCAGGAAGTACAATACTTCAGGTATATTTATCCACGCCTCTGCCGTCGCAGGGTCCATCCTAGCCCTGAACACCACAAGGCGTACGAGTCTGGGCGTAGCTTTGTCACCAATCTGCAGATTGGCTGAAAAACTGTTTACTTATATGTTTATGTGCTTTCACTTGAGACAAAATAATGGAAAAGAATAGATTTTAATGTCCCAAAACCCCAGTCATTGCTCCACATTATCACTTGCTCCTACATTTCCATCTATAAACTTCTATCAGCGTCTTGTCCATAACCGAGCAGGAGTCTCATCATGAAATAATTTTCCTCTACGGCCAAATCGCTTTAGAACGTCCAGCCTGTTTCGTTTCGCCATTTTTGTGTGCGTTGCGTTCACGTCTAACACGGTCATCGTGTTGTACGATTCCGTCATACAACTGATAAGCTATGCGTTTAGCAGTGCTTTTTCGAAGATGGGGCAGGAATTCTGCACCCTGGGTGAATACTCACGGTACTGAATGACTGCTCTGCTGTGGGTGGTGGGCCGACAGCCAGCACGACAACAAGCGTATTTGACACACAGAGGTTCTTATTGCCGTCTTTTTTACAAACGATGAAGCCATCCGATGCCTTACTTCCTAATGGTTGAGCGTTCTATCATCGTGACGCCCCCTAGTGCACTTGAAGCCTTCTGTAGGGAGGAGGATCTGACACCATTCTTCTAGCTGAGGTGAAACTCGTTGAATTGCCATGCATGGACACAGTTATGCGAACTGTTGCTTGCTGTTATCTCAATTATTGGTGTCTGGAGTGGAGTAGACCGGTCTAAGCACGATAGAGGAGATGGGTGTGTGTGTACTAAGACAGGGTTGTCGATCACCAATCGGTAACACCGTGCGGTACCATCATGGCAGAATTGTAAAAAGGAAGAAGGAGTATTAAACTAGAAGTTCCAATTTATCTTCAACGATTATTGTATCCCAATTTTGCGGCGAATTTACCGCCATCTTATTGATATTTCCACCTTCAATAACTGTTGACTTTACTTTTTCGGTCTGGTATAGTTCAAAGTTTGAGGTGTTGGGTGCAAGGCAACCAGCCACTGAAAATCTTCCATTGCTGATGGGTCGTTTGATCGTTTTAATTCTTCAAGCAAAGCCACGAGGCGTTTAAAATATAACCCCTACTTTGAATTGAAGGCTTCTCTTACTAAACTATCCCCCTATACTGGTATGCCTTATTACAACTTCAGAGATTACTCGGGACCCTACAAAATGCAGACTCAAACTCATAGTGCTACTTTGCATCGTAAGTCATACTATTGGTGTTTTGTACCACCGTCACAGGCATAGACTGGAAATCCCTGACCACGCCTGCTCTGCTGCCACTCACCACTGATTACTTTCCGGAGGCGTCGAGCCTTCTGGGCGAGGGCTACATGATCCACGAATACCGGATCGTTCTGATCACTGTTTCAGAGAAGGAGTGGGACCTCCATTTCGAGTAAGTCACCGATCAATCTCATTCACTTATCCACCCAATCCCGAAAATTGGATTTAGCAAAGTCGAGTCTTACCATTGTTCCAACTGGTATTGCCTGCCTTAGGTCACTTTTGATCGCGGTCCTCGGTGAATTTTAACCATTGTTTTTAAAGACCTTCTTTCGAAAGGTCTGTGAGATGGGTTATCCCAACTTCGTCCCTCTTTTATTTAAGCTAATGACAAATATTGTGGAGACTGAGTTTGGTAAATGCTGTGAAAGTTCTCTTGACAAATCTACTTACCTCCCCTAACTCGGATATCAGTTTATTTAGTTACGCATTTACAGGATCCTAAATCTACGCAGAAGGTTTATGGGTTAGTATTTTAATTTAATTCAATAATGTCGACTTTAAGACTAACTTATTTACCCCTTTTTATGGTGTGAATTAATTGACCCACAGTAGTGGGGTAACCTCTCGTCTCACACTCCTTTCTGATACCCTTATCCCAAAATCATGCCTTAGAGACCAGAACGAAAGAGCTGATAATCGGGGAGTGTAATTTTCCCAAAACTTCACCCTAAAGAGGAGGAATAGTGCCCCAAATGGGCCTCTGGTAGTTGTTCTTACTAGCTGGTGTATTATGATGCCTTTTTGTGTACTCTGATGTCTTCTCTTCTTTCCACCTTTTGCCGCTCAAAAAGGCCTTTTCTTCTCATCACTATGATACCCTAAAGTGAGATTCAGTTTTGGCACTCAAACGACAAGCCTTAATTCATCCGACCTCGTTTGGGCAGCACTATTTCGCGACATCTACCCTAATTTTTTTTAACTCAGAGCATACGGATAGGGCAATTCCCCACTCAATCTGGACCGAACAGCTAAACTATCCTACTTGTTTTTCATTTACTGCCCAAATGTTTCATGGGGAAATTCAATCAAAACGATCTCACTATCATTTTGTGCATGCACCTTCAAGTTGTTTACGGGTTCTATGGGTTTGCCGAAAATTTGCATGGTTTTCGGTACAGCTCGCTTCATCGACATACCTAATTCTTAGGGATCTGTAAACTGAGCATAATCATGTTTGCATTGCATGCATTATGAAACGGATAAGAGTACATCAGTCTATTTCCACGCTAATTTCATTTGTGAACCAGTCTTTATGTTGTATGTTGTAAACTGAAAGCCAAACAGCTGCGACTGACGTGTCGATACGAAACTATATAAATTGGGGGTGTGCAGAAAAACTTCTCGAAAAAGAGTGAAAATTAGGCAATCGGTAGGTGGGAAGTCTTACTCTCAAAGGACAAGGCACGACCACGTCAGATCCCATGCCACCGCAAGCCTTGGCTGGGAGATGACTGCACTATCGTACTTTAGGACGGGAATGGACGAGATATCTCTCGATTTCTTTGCTACGGGCAATATTCATTCACATGACCACACGCAAAACAGAATGGACAGTTGGAGAGTAAAAGGTAATTGGAGACAGAGGAAATGCCTCCTATCTTTTAGAAATAATACTATTTACAAAGAGAATTCCCAGAAAGAAATAGATGGTGGATTCCACTGGCGCCTATTTGAGCGAATAAAATATTGCGAGAATCTTTCTGTAGTCATTTCATTTTTAGTGCGAAAAAACACATTCATTTGGATGTTTTATACTACTCCAATGTGATGTCAAGCTTTCCAATTGAGCTCATTGAAATAGTTTTGAACTTTGGGTATTTGGTTAATTCGAAAGGACCGGGGTAAATCTAAATTTCCCTTTTCTTGGATCAACACATCCACTTTGGGCGCGGTAAATTGGAATTTTTATTTTAGTATCCTTACGTAGACTGCGGATTTATTATTAAGTACTTCTTTCTAGTTGTTAAGGCTTCAAATTGAAAGCAAGACCGACACTCGTAAGGAAATGATAAAAACTTTTTTTTTCTCATGCTACCGACACG